GGGGGAAATGGAAAGTGTCCGTTTGTACAGGTGGTCGTCTTATAGAGGTGGCCGTCAGGGCAGGTTCGACTGTATTTGGGAAAATTTGTCACTTTGGCCGCCTAAAACTTCCCAACCACTTAAATAATAACTTTCGAATTTGACAAAATTAATGGTGGTTCAGAATCATTCAAAAGGTGCTCAGTTTCAGAGAGGATCCTGAAGTCACTGCAGTTTAATATTCAGTCTTTCATTAGTTTCATTTAGATCTAATCTTGGGAAAGTCCATCTTGTAAGATGCCATTGTAAACAAGTGAGGTTTCCGTTCACTAGCCATGCGCACTAATTCCACATCTTTGAAATAATGAAGAGTACAACCACGAAAGTAGAATTGTAGAGAATCAATCTATACATCTGTTATATATTTGGCAACTTGGAAACACATGTGTCACTTTTCTCTCAACATTTATTGCTCCATTCCAGTAGAGTGTAAATATAGTAGGCGAATGACTTTCAGTTGATGTTAATGCACCAATCATTCCTTTTATCGAAAGGGGGCCCAGCTAGTTCTACATGAATAGTGTTCTCCCCATACACATACTTAACTTTTACTTTTCCAATACAGCGGCCATCAGAGTTCTAGCCCTTTGTCCTGCCTTGTACACATAAAACCACAATTTAATATTTACCAATAAAAAAAAGAGTAAAACACTAAGAGAACATTCAACCAACATTTTATTGAAATAAACAAATAACTGATAGAATCCAGTTCGTCATTTACATAAAGCACTCTGATGTCTGCTGTGTTCATCATTGACTTTTGCCCTTGAACTTTTTTTTCCCTCTCATTTTCTGCTGAAGTTCTGCATACTTTTTCTTGTTGTACCTGTGGGGGAAAAAAAATAAGAAAAAAAATGAAGCAGAAAGACGACACAGCAGATTCTCTAATTTGGAGGACTACACTACTGTGACTATAGGCTTATACTAGATTCCTGCAATAAAACAACTTCCGATAGATTATCACAGGTGCTACAGATTCAATGTTGATGACAAACAATAAACTTTCGTGAGAAGACTAATGAAATTATCTTCTCTCTATTTTCCATGGGAAAAACAATGTACAAGACTTTAAAGAATTCTTTTGCAGAAAAAATAAAGAACTTGATTATCATTCATTTGCAAAAAAAACTTTTACGGTCAGGAAACAAAACAGCAGAACTAGCGCAAGAGATAAAACAAAAAATCAGGGCGGAGAGAGCCCATTGTAATGAATGTGCAAATGTCAAAAAATGAAAATTCATCCAAAAAACAAAAACAAAAAACCAACACACACACAGTACATGACCGCTAACAGCAGTTCTCGTCAGTTCACTTCAGAACCAACCGAGTGAGCTGCTGCTGTGTTGCAGTAGGTTGTAAACTTGACCAACACTCCCAAGTTTGAAGAAACGTAACAACCAAATCATTATCGTCTGACTCTGATCTTCCAGGAAAATATATATGCCATGTATCCTGTCCACAAACTGAATGCACAACCATCACCAATTGTGGGCTTAGCAGAATTGTACTTTGAGCTACAGTTTACGACAAGTTACCAAGAACAATTTTGCCCGGGGTAAACCTTACGGCCCATTCAATCAGCAGTGACAGTATAGAATGACAGTTAAGGCAGACTCAATCAACTATCAACACTTGGAGGGTTAAACTGTGTCGTTGGCGGGTGCTCTGGTGTGGTTTGCTCCTTATTTCCTATCAAACATCTGTCATCCTTATCTCTCCTCCCTCATTTTGCGTTTGTTACTCTTGTAACACCTCTAATCTTCAGCACTCATATGAACTTATTGTGTAGTAAGTGCCGTAAAACTCTTACTAAAACTTTAAAACTATTTACTTATCCCTTAGTCTTAGATGATCGTTGGGGTACCAAGGTTGATCAGGCAACCACTTGTCTCCATCCTTCTCCATTTCCAGCCTTTTGAAGGGCCTCACCTAACTTAAAACTTGTCCATCCCTTCACATTGTCTTCCCCTCTCTTTTTCCGTCTACCTTACTTTCTCTATCCTTGCACAGTGCCTTGTAGGATCGTCTTTGCAAGTCCTGTTGATCTTGTTGTGCATCCAAACTGTACCAATTTGCATTTTTTCTCTAAGGAGGGTTAAACGGAAAAAAACCCTAAAAGACGAAAAAGCAGCCACGAGGCCAGCCGAACGTACTGTCTGATGTTTGCGTCTGCCATGAGCTCCTCCACCAGCGTCTGCTTCCTCTGCTTCTTGGTGAGGCGGCTGGCGTAGAAGTCCGTGCCCTCGTCCACCACCGTGCCCATCTGAGGAAAAAATATCGCACGGAGAAATGAAGAGAGGAAGAGTGGATCGATCGATTGATTGATAGTAAATACAGTCGAAATTGTTTAAGTCAACCACCCATTGATGAGGAGAACAGTAATGGAGACGTTTCCAAAAACTAAAAAAAAAAAACCCAAATAAAATAAACAAAACAAAACCACAACAGGGTAATGGGAGACGGATGATTGTACAGGTGATTGTCTAATACACGTCTGGCTAGGCACTACCTACTAAATTAGCGGGACTTCATATTCGCACCAAGTTTTTTAAAAAAACCATATGTTTGTCCGTGAAATTAGTTTTATACAAATTTAGACGGGCTTGAAATATTAACCGTCATAAAACAAATATTTTTAAAAAACCCAACAAACAAACAAACACAAATTTTAAAAATAAAAATCGGAACTTCTAAAGTGACAGAATCCAAGAACTGGTAGGAAAAAGTCATACACACTGTTTTAACGGTGAAGCAAAAGGGAAGGAATACCTGGAAATACTTCGGCACCGCCTTGCGGTCCTGGTGTTTGTAGAAGCGCTTGGGGTCGAGAACTCCCCGCATCTGAATGAGCTCCATGTCCACACGAGCAGGGTCGTCCTTGTCCGGCGCTTTCATGTCAAACCATTTCTTACCCAGAGTCTTCTCTCGCTCCGCCTGTGTGGAGAAGACGACAAAACATACATCATCAAGTTAGTTTTATGTTTTAGTAAGACTTTAACTGCACTTGTTTTGTTTTGGTGTTATTAGTTTTGATAAGTAGAGTTTTATGGTACTTGAAACACAAGTAGATTGTTGTTGTTGTTGTTTTCAAACCCCTTTAGCTGCGAGCATTTCGCCCTTGGCAGCGCAATGCCTCCCTCAAGTAACCACATGCCCTTGTCATTTGGTCAGCGCCAGAGCAGAGCAGGCTTTGTAAGTCTGTAGGTGTGTGTAGGAGCCTGCGTCGAAGAACTGCCAGGTTTGGGCAGTGTAGGAGAAGATGTTCAACGGTCTCCTCGTGGTAGTCACAATGTCTGCCATGGGGTTCCCACATGGGGTTAATTCTGTTTATGTGCTTGTTGGTGTGTAAGTGCCCTGTGCCAAGTAGATTGTATAAGTGCCAAAGATGAGAGGTGTTACACCAGAGTAGCAAACAAAGAAAAGGTGGAGAGATGCAGGCAATCAGGTGTATACTAAGGAAGAAGGAGCAAACCACACCTGAGCACCCGTCAACCACCCACTCGGCACTTGTGACACAAATACGTAATATAAGTGCCCAAGACTAGAGGTGTTACTAGTGAGTAACATACAAGGAAAAGGAGGAGAGAGGACGACAATAGATGCTTCATAAGAAAGAAGGAGCAAACCACACCGTAGCACCTGCCAATCACCCACATTAACAAGTTCCTGTTCTATCCATAAATACAAGAAATTCAATAAATACTATAAGCAGAAGGGCATGAAATAGAAAGCATGAAAGTAAAGGTTTGTAAACAACAAATCTGATCAGCAAACTACATTGCAAAATATGTGCATTACCAAAACTTTTGCTAATAATAATAAGATTGTAAACTTGAAACACAATCATAAAGCCAGTACAATGAATATCATATCATATACAATAATCTTTTGGTAGTCGCAGTTCCTATTGTTTTGAATCAGTCTTCCAGATTTCAATGTGATACTTCATCAACTGGTTCTTCATGAAAAAGTTAAGAAGTTAAAGACTAAAAAGTCTGAAAAGCTTGAATTCAAGCTTATCTGAGGTATAGTATTGTCAGCAAGACATGATACAAGTTAGCAGGGGCATCAAAAGCGCTTTAAACTAAAAAGTATAATTATAATGACTTGAAAATCTGCAAAGTTGAATGTTGCTGTACTTCGACAGTATTCCTCAAATAATAATAATAATAATAGTAGATTACATTTATATAGCGCTCTATCTCATACTAATATAAGCTCTGAGAGCTTTACACCAATCACATGATCATTCACAAAAGAGAAAATATTTCACAGACACAAGAAAAACCAGTTCAACCACATACAGAAGAACTTTCACAACCATACATTAACTATACATATACACGATGATGGAGCTTCTCCCACAACTATCGTGACCCACACCTGATACACTCAAACTCTACAGTGGAACCATCACACAAAAGAGCAGCAGCGCTCTCAGCAGTTTTTCCCTCCCTTTTCAACGTTCTGTCTTCAAACCAAGCAAACCTGAACTAATGGTGGCTGAACCAAAACCTCAAGGGGCACACTTTACCTTTCTCTCTCTCTTCAGGGATCTCCTTCCTTTTGATGTCAAGCTTTGCTCATAGATCGAAGGTACGGGCTGCAAGAAACAGTTTAGTTTTAGTAAGAGTTTTACGGCACTTGAAACACAATAATGTCATATAAAATAAGTGCTGAAGATTAGAGGTGTTATAACAGAGTAGCAAACATAAAAAAGAAGAAGGGGAGATAAGGACGATAGATGTTTCATAGGAGAGAAGAAGCAAACCACACCAGTGCACCCGCCAACCACTTTAAACGGTGACAATATACACCTTTACAACTGATTCAAATGATCAGTCACCCGAGCAGAAAATTTGTGACAAACAGCCACTGCTCTTTCTTTTTTTTTTATTTCTTTAAGCGTACCAAAAAACAACGAGCTCTTAGTTCTGCCAACGTGACAACAAAGAACATACCAGCCACTGTGCACCACTGCCATTTTGCTCTGCAAATTCCTCTGCTAAACAAGCAGGATCTGCTTCAGATTTTGACTTGGAACAATTTGAAGACGGCAAGAAGACCAGACCCACCACTCTGTTGCCTGTGGGACAATATTTGAAAAATTTAAACAGAAAAAAAAAATATACTAACAGAGCATATACACTCTCTTTTAGACAAAACAAAGCTCATTACATTGAAAAGGAATTGAAAAGGAACAAAATCACAAAGAAACACACAACTGAAACTATCAAAGTATTATATAAATTTTGTTCTGGAAATTTATCCTGCATAAAAAAACATACCCAAAAAATGAACTCAAGCCCTGAGAACATACCACATGGGAAATGTGAAAGACAAGCATTGATATCTTCCTTCAGCTCATTGCCATCGATCAGTTCCATATGCCAGACCCCCGTGACCTGGATATCATCTGGAGACTGGACGTTCGCCGGACCCACCAGGAAGCCCCGGATCCCTCGGCTTGCCCATTCAGATGATGTGACGGCCTACAATACAGAGAACACAAACCCTCACTGTAGAAAAGAGTGATAGCTTATGACTAACATATGATAATAAAGTTCAAGATTTGAATCTGCATGGCTTTAAAATTTTCTCTTTCTCCTCTTACCATCTGCTGGAAGAAGGAAACCTGGGGATAGACCTTGCATTCCCCCTGCTAAGGCATAACTTTGACATAAAAATAAGCTATCCCTATTTCCTGTCAGATGACAGTCATGATGATTTACTGTGACAACGAAGATGGGCGCAAAGTATGATATTGACAGTCATCACCATCATGAAGTGCCAGTTCTGAAACAGACATTGGTAATCATGGTTTGACATTTACTATTTCTCTGCTGAGATACTCAAAGCATTATCCATCTTTTCAAATTCTTTAGGTTAGGAAGGGTATTCCGTTGCTTCTTTAGCCTTTTATTTCTCCAGAGTAATAAATTTAGTGGCGCACATGATTTTTATCCCTCATACACCTAAAAGAGGGCCCCAGCCAATTGGGCCCC